CTATTATTATTATTATTATTATTATTATTATTATTATTATTATTATTATTATTATTATTATTATTATTATATTAAGATTATTTAAAACATGGGGGGGGATTCTTTCAAACCCTCTTTTTTACTTGGGAGAACTCTTATTATAATTATTTTTTAAAAGAAAATCTTATCGATTACAGCTAAAATAAAAAGCATTTCAATTTTTCGTAAAGAAATAGTTTTACTTTTTTTTTGCTTTTTAAGCTGCTATCACTAAGCTATTAGGATATTTTATATTTCAGAATTTATTGCTGTCGGACTTATTTCGGCTTATATAGCAAACTTGATTTTTTTTAATCCAATTGAATATTTTTCTTATACTTCATTTATACCAGTAGGCCTTTGAAGTTGGATGCAGCCAGCTGACTCTCTAGCATGCAACTCCTCGCAATAGCCACCTTGAGTCCGACTTGGCCTGCCGGCTTTCTAATATTCAATTCCTTATAGTAGCCTGTTTCAATCTGAGGTAGCCGGCTGACTCTTCAACTCTCAATTCCTCGCAGTGGTCCTCTTTGTTCCGATGTAGCCGGCTGACTCTTTAACTTTCAATTCCTCGCAGTGGCCCTCTTTATTCCGATGTAGCCGGCTGACTCTTTATCATTCAATTCCTTGTAGTAGCTCCCTTGAGTCTGATGCAGCCAGCTGACTCTCTAGCATGCAATTCCTCGTAGTAGCCACCTTTAATCCGACTTGGCCTGCCGGATTACTAATACTCAATTCCTCACAGTAGCCTGTTTCAATCCGATGTGTCCAGCTGACTCTTTAACTTTCAATTACTCGTAGTGGCCCCCTTTAATCCGATGTAGCCAGATACTTCCACACTCCTATCATTCTATCTTTGCCTGTCTTCAAAGCTACCTTCTGACAAAATACGATTATATAGCTAGTGCACGTAATTCTCTCTAATCGTTTAGAAGAAGTCCACTCATCTGAACCTTGCGGAGCAGATATGCCAGATAGAATTCAGATACTATTTTAGCGCCAGTTTTGCAATTGCAAGAAACCACGTGCGCTGCATGTTAGTAATGAACGCTCTCTATCGGCGATCCAATAATAATATAAAGCTCTTTTTAAAGCTTAATAAAAAGCCTTAGATTTTAAAAAGATCGTATTAAATTTGCAAGCTAAAATCTTGACTAGCGCGAAGCCAAAAAAGAAAATAGCTATCGCCTTTTTTTAAAAAAAAGGTTTTGCTAAAGACGGTTTTGCTTATTACGAAAGGTAGCTTCGAGCTTTTTATTAGTTTTCGAACTTCGCACCGTCTAAAGTCTCTTTCGAATCGACGCTAATATTTAATTCTCGATAAGCGTGCTAAAGCAAAAAATTAAACTGATATTCGGCCCTTTTAGCTATTTCTTTGACCTTTAAAATAACTAATCTACGATTCTACGGCACTTACTCGATAACGATAAGCCTTTTTCATTTTCGTATACTTATTAACAATTCTTAGCCCTTTTTAAATTAATCTTTATATACATTCATGAAATTTAATACTTATAAAGCCGTCTTTTTAGCTTTTTTAAAATGCGAATAGCTTAAGAAAGGCGGCTTGATAAGTACTGGCTCGAATAAATCTTTTATTTAAGGCTTTTCTTAAAATAATCGGCGAACAGTCTAAAATTTATCTAGTGATATATTATAAAAAAAAAGTCTATAAAAAGGAATAGCGCTTTATTTCAGTCTGATAGGGTGATCGCAATCTTTCTAAAAGGCTAATTTATCTGCTTCGTTTCAACTAAAAGCATTCAAGTGATCGTAGTATTAAAAAAGAATAATAATAGAAAGAACGATATAAATTTTAGAAGCTAGAGCTTTTCGAATATCTTTAAGAGATACGCTGCAACAGTACATATCGGCTGCTTTTTAGCGTTATTAGATTTCGAATGCAGGACTAAACCGTAGTTTAATGCCAAAAAAAAATTTGCTTGTAATCTATAATCAACTTGCAAGTCTAGAAGTAAAATAAATAGCTCGCCTTTTATTTGTTAGACGCTTAAGCGGGCCGAATCGTATCGAACGAGGCGAGTTAAATAAGATATAATATTAAAAGCGGCAAGGTTTACTTTAAACTTCTATTGAAACTATTTATTAATCTTATAAAAAAAAGGCAGAAAAAATCTTAGTTTTAATATAAAAGGCCGTAGTATAAACTGAAGCGGCGCTCAATCTTCGAAGGAAAGGTCTTTTGATAAAGGTCTTCGGGGTGCTAAAAAAAAGGCATTAAATCGGGCATAAGTAATTGACGATAAATAGATAATAAGTAATAGTTTTTGCAGACTCCGCCATCGAATATGAAAGAGTCGAAGTTCTCATTAATTAAAGGGCTACAGAGAGCGAGCTAAGGCATGCGCAAGATAATATTGTATTTATCGAAGTTAGATTAAGAAGAACTCTTTTGTACTACGTCTCAAGCGTAAGTATCACCCCTTGAGGGTCGGGTAATCAGGAGGTTTATAGTGGCAACTAAACTTTTGAGGCACCCTCGAGGGGTAATACTTAGGCCTGTACCGTGGTACTACGTATATGAAACAGTGATTTAGCCTCGAATTTTCAATAATTGGTTTTGCGATATAGTAGTACCACGGTACAGGCGAAAGTATTACCCCTCGAAGGTGCCTCAAAAGTTTAGTTGCCACTATAAACCTCTTGATTGCCCTACCCTCAAGGGGTGATACTTACGCCTGGGACGTAGTAACTATTGGTAAAGAGGTCCGAGAGCTTGGACTCGATGCCTTCAAAGTACCACGGTACAGGCTTAATTGTTACGCCTTGAGGGTGCCTCAAAAGTTGAGTTTCTACTATAAGCCCCCTGATGACCCGACCCTCAGGTAATACTTACGCCTGGGACGTAGTCAGTACTGGAGTTTTCGGCGTGGCCTTAAAAGTATACGATTTCGTTAGCAACCTTTTAGATGTGTAATCAAACGGTTACGATAACCCCTGAAACTTCGAAGCGAGTCAAGAAAGATAACGAAACTGATGATCGCGAGGCTCGGAAGAAGATTATCATATACTACTACGTACGTACGAAAGGGTCAGAATTGAATATATTAGCGTTAGCAGCAGCGACGAATCTCGTTTGAGGTCGTTAAGGCTATAATTAAAGTAAAAGCTTTTGCTTTAGCTCAAGACTAATCGTCTAAGAACGGGTATGCGCCACCATAGGAGCATGCAGGATGTACGTAGTACCGTACTATACGATGTATGGATGTTCCGAGGTCCTCGGGATCGTGAAATTTAAACGTGTTCGATAACGGTGCCACGTTCTACTGCGTACTAGTACTGTAGTATGAGGATTGGAAAAGGTTATCATGCAGTAGCGAGAGCGAGTATCTTGGAGATAAGGTTAAATTGTACACAAGAAGATAAGAGATGCCAAGGTTCAGGAGGCGATACCGGTATCTACCTAACTCTATCGTAGAGAGGGGTCCGTCCGCATTCCTAGCCTTGACAGTCCTTGGCCGATTTGGTGATCCTATCCCCTTACTCCGTATATCCGTATATCCGTATATCCGTATATCCGTATACCATCCTCTGAAAATTTCCAACTTCTTAATCTATCGATCGTTGCACAATTGCTCGATCGCGCTCCGGCGGAGTAGCGAAGAAGCGAGTCATCGTCGTTGGTAGCAATATTTTCTTTTGTGCCGCATCACTTGGTGAGATCCGATCTTATGGGACACTAGGATATATGGGCTATCATCAAATCCAGAGGGGCACGGTAATCCAATCCAAGGATTTCTAACGTAGAGTACCTATTAGGAGGCGACAACTCGAATATCGTTGTTTTCTAGCCTTGATCGGTATCCTGATAACAAACATCAAGCAGCCAAGATCATCGCCCTCGTGGCCCAAGGCGACATTTTGGCAGTAGCAACATTTGACTGGCGTTTTCGATTAAGGCGTTCGGTGTGTAGGAAACTGAATCAGACAGACACAGGCCAGTTCCGAACGGGCGACAATCGCGGGGAAAGGTTTAAGCAGTCTGATGTCAAGCTTGCAAGAAGGGAGGCTCATACTCCACCTCCACCTCCTCGCGCCGACCCTTTCACAATCAATTCGAGGAAATGAGAAAAAAACACAAGAAAAAGCGGAGTTTCCAGATGCCGATACCACGAATCAGCTCTAGCTGTCTGCCGGCAATATGGAGAAACTCACCAACTCGGCTGTCCGTCCGACACGGAGACCATGTCCCTTGAAGAAGATCATGCACAGCTATACGAGTAACGCCCGACGCGAAAGCAAAAACAGAAAGCATCCTATCCCTTATACTTTGAGTTGAGATCCATCTCTTGTATTATACATTCATAAATATGCCACACAAGACTCCTATTGTCCTCCCTACCTCGTATCCCATGCAATACCCAAGTGTATAACCTATACGTTCGCAGCATTTGTAGCAAAAACACTGCAACATAGAAAATGTCAACACAAAAACAAAGGCGACGGCCTAGTTTACTTATGCCTGTCCGCTTGCGCCTTCTCGTGCGCAGCCACCAATTCTTTTCTGCGATTCTGTTAGTGTGGGCGCTGTTGAAAGAGCTGAAAGGCGCCTTACTGTAATTGTCCAGGAGCCGGAGCGTAATGGCTAAATTCCATACCAAACTCTCCCTTACCCTGAGTAGCAGCTCTCAGCTGAGAACTGAAGCCGAACATGGCGTTCAGACTGCAATCCGCCGTCAAAGTGAAGTCCTCCGGCCCAATCTCGGTGTCACTGATAATAGCATTTCGCTTGTTCAACAGGCCCACAACGTTTCCCTGGAACTCGTTGGGTGCTGTGATAGTAGTCTTCATGAGAGGTTCTAGAACCTGGGGTCTGGCCTCCTTGAATGCCTTGCGGAATGCTTGCTGCGTGGAATTTTTGAACGCCATTTCGGACGAATCAGTCATGTGGGTAGCTCCATCATTGATGACCATGGAAGTTCCAAGGACAGGGTGTCCGATAAGGGGGCCCTTCTCGCAAGATGCGAGGAAACCTTTTTCGCAAGCGTACAAGAACTTCTCGGAAATCGAACCACCAGTGACCTCTTGTCTGAACGTGGATGGGGTGTAGCCGTTCTCGCCCGGGGCAATGGGCTGCATGTATCCAACGACACGAGCGAAATCTCCTGCGCCACCAGTCTGCTTCTTCAGGGTGTGGTCGAATTTGACTTCTTCAGTGATGGTCTCTCGGTAAGCGACCTGTGGCTTTCCGGTTTCGACCTCGACCTTGTATTCTCGTCGCATACGCTCAACGTAGATATCAAGATGCAATTCTCCCATTCCTGAGATGATAGTCTCCTGACTCTCCGCATCGACGTGCACTCTGAAGGTGGGGTCTTCGCGCTGGAAGCGGTTCATGGCTTTGCTGAAGTTACTCGTATCTTTGGTGGTTTTTGGCTTGATGGAGAGCGAAATGACAGGATCCGGAACAAACATTGATGACATGGAGTACGGCAACGAACCATCGGTGAAGGTGTCACCAGAAGCACAGTCGACGCCGAATACAGCGCAGATTTCTCCAGCACTGATCTCGGGAACTTCCTCCATGTCATTGGAGTGCATTCGCACGATGCGAGGGATCTTCACTCGCTTGTCCGTTCTCGCGTTGAAGATGTTCATTCCCTTCTTCATGATTCCTTGGTAGACTCGAATATAAGTCAGTTGCCCATAGTTGCTCTCCTCGAGCTTAAAGGCCAAGCCGACAAAAGGTAAAGAGTTGTAAGAGACAAGCTTCACGGGTGCCTCGTCTCTTCGCCTGTCCAACGCCAAGTTTTCAACTTCGGAGGGGTTTGGTAGGTAATCGCAAACTGCATCCAACATCGGCTGGACTGATTTATCCGCCAATGCACTTCCCATCAGCACTGGAGTGAACTTCAAAGCGATGGTCGCTCTTCGAATGGCAGCCTTCATTTGTTCTGGCGTCGGGGTCTTCTCGTCCAGGAAGATCTCGGCAATCTCATCATCCACGTCGGCCAAAGTCTCTATTAGTACCAGTCGTTTCTCTTCCGCCAGAGCCTTGACACTTTCCGGAATCTCATCGGTTTCTCTGATGATTTCTCCTTTTGATCCTTCGTTGTAAATGGCCTTCATTCTGATCAAGTCCACGACCCCCTGGAAGGTATCCTCCCCTCCAATAGGGACCTGTAATGCCGCAGCTGGTATCCGAAGTTTTTGGTTGATCTGCTCCACCGCCTTGAACGGGTTTGCGCCCATCCTATCCATCTTGTTGATAAAACTGACTCGAGGAACGTTGTATCGTCGCATTTGCCTGTCGACCGTGATCGTTTGACTCTGGACTCCGCTCACCGCACAGAGAATCATGACTGCTCCATCCAGAACTCGCAATGCTCTCTCGACTTCGATTGTGAAATCTATATGTCCAGGGGTATCGATCAAGTTGATGTGATATGTCTCCTCCTTTCCGTTCTCTACCTTTCGCCAGTCGCAGAAAGTCGCAGCAGATTGGATGGTGATTCCCTTTTCTCTCTCCAACTCCATGGAATCCATCTTTGCCCCGACAGCATCTTTGCCTCGAACTTCGTGGATAGAGTTGATCCGACCAGTGTAAAAGAGAACTCTTTCTGTAGCTGTGGTTTTGCCACTGTCGATATGCGCCTACAGACATCAGTCGGACGTCTTCGTTCTTTTATTTTGAAGAACCTACCGCAATTCCAATATTCCTAAGCTTGGATAGCCGTCCTCTTTCCACGCCGTCCAAGTTGTCTATGATTTTCTTTTGCGTGAGGGCGGACGGGTCTGCAGCGGCCTGTTCTAATCTGTCTCGATATTAGCACATCCCTATAATCTCCAAGACCACACTGTTCCAAGAGCCCAACTCCAGATTCCCAGACTCACACTGCCTCTGCCACCCCGGCCCGAACATATCTTGTCTGAGAGAAAGCTCTCGCACCCAATCCCTTCCCCACGGTCGTCCGGATGCTCAAGCCGCGACTCGATGCATTTAAGCAGAGAAATCTCGGCCTCGACGGACAATATCTCAGGGAAGAAATTGAAGATTCTGCTACAGCTGCAGCCCGGACAGCTCTATGCGCCCTCATGATTGCTGGATTGATTGAAGTTCTTGAACAACCTGGTCATCGTTCATCAACTCCCGATTGCCTCCCCTAAATTTTTTTGAGTCCCGGAATATCGTTTTCCCGCATAGCATTCAATTGGCGGGGGCTAAATATCGTTCTAGGAATCTTCCTCCTCATCCTTCCTCTCCTTTACTCTCTGTTGACCTGTGATTTTATGCGAGATTAAAAGGAAATATTGGCACGCAGTTGTTCCCAAAGCTGCGATGGAAGAAGCAGCCGAGTCGGCGAAATAGGTAGAATGGCAGCAGATCATATGAGTTCTAATATACAACTGATGAGCCACTCCCTTCTGATTGTAGGTCGTCGTCGGCTTGTCTAGGTCTTTCTGGAAGAATGGAGGTCGGCCATCCAGGATCTCCTGCAATGGTCCAAGCCTCAAAATCAATAACTTTGTTCGAAAAAGCGTACAGCTCAGCTTCTGTTCTAAAGCATTGGGCCCATAAGTCCAATTTATCCTCATCTACCACTTTCTTTGGAATAGCCATTTGCAGCTGCCACTTTATACCCAAAACCCAGGAAAGTCGTAGCGCGTTCGCCGGGTGTGACATCCCTAGCTTGTTCCGAATGTATTCCACGATGACTTCTTCGTCTGCGCCCCATAATTGGGTTTGCTCAATACCATTGACGGTAGTTCCCATAAAAGTTTTAGGGACGAAAGCTTTGCCGATCATTTTCATCTTCCAATTTCTCGCTTTAATAGCACAATACCAACTCCCTTCATCACCCTTCCAGGTACCAACTCTGTTTACTATTTAGATTATTAGCTCCGCGTAATAGATAACGATCTCTATAAATGATCCCACCCATGTACAAGCCAGGTCCTAATTGGGTACGGTATTCGGATTCTTGTACAACTGGCTTATTATGTTCATTGATGCGCAGAGCTTGGGACTTTAGTTCGCGTAATTAGTATAAGCTTATGCTATATAAATCAGGTGAAACTTACTTCGGAAACTGTTGTATAGCCGATGACTGTTTGTTGGAGCCACTCTTCCCACCAAAATGCTTGGGCTCTACCCAAGAGGGAGCTTAAGGCTAGCAAGATCGCGAATATAGACTTCAATCGTAGCATCGTGTCTGTAGCTGACCAAAGGAAAACAAGCTTATGAAGGGAGAGGATGATGAATGAAAACTGCAGCAGGTGTAGGAAGAAATATATATCTCTTTCTTGAACGTCCGTACTCGAAATTTCTACGTCGACTATAAATGTTCGTGCGGTTAATAATAGGCAGCGCACTCGAAGATCATCCTACTTCGTAGATATGAACTATTTAAAATATTGCAATCTTCCTTTCCAATTTGTAATGACCAACTTACGTAGTAATTACTTTTCTTCGAGTGGGTATGGCTCGCAATTGCACGTCCGTGCAACTAGGCAGTTGAGTTGGTTAATCCTGAAGAGGATCAACTCAATTTGATAGTAAAAGTTGCACGTTCCAAGGCCTATATACTAGCTCGCAACTAGCAAATTACCACGGTACAGGCCTAAGTATTACTCCTCGAGGGTGCCTTAAAAGTTTAGTTTCCACTTTAAACCCCCTGTTTTCCCTACCCTCGAGGGGTAATACTTACGCCTGCGACGTAGTAAATTGGAATTTGCATCTTAAGACTTACGTAAGATATGGATTCAATTTATTATTACAGCTGCTAATTATTTTTCCATAATAAACTCAAGCTCAATAACGCTACCTTACCATATCGGTCCTTCTAAACTCGAGGTTTCTCAGCTCGGAGGCTCTACTTGCGAGCCTCCTTCCTAAGTCCAAGCCTAAAAAAACATTATCAAGGAACCTATTGCACGGAAGAAGAGAGCGCACGCTATTGATGGTACCCTTACCCCTTCGGCTTTTACGACCCCCTCAGCTTTTAACGTCGAAGACAGGAAAAAGAAAAAGTGTATGTAGAGTAATTAAAATATCGACATAATCGTCGGTTTCCCTAAATTTTAATTCGAAAAATTGGCCGACTTGCTATAGCAAGTCGGCACCACCAAGGTGGGACAGTAAAACTCGCTCCTTTATAATAAATAAAAAAATTAACCAACAATTATATCGTAATTATTTCTGTATAAAAAAATGCACCGTATTAATCTTAAAACTAATCAATTAACAAAATTCTAATAACAAGTTGTTACTCCTTTATTGTGTTGAGTTAAAGTAGTAAAAATAGTACTTTTGGTGTGTACTTTTCGATTTTAATAATGCGTATATATTAGAATTGCCGCGTATATACTAGAATAAGCGAGGAACACGAAATCGGACTTTTATTCAAACCTATCAAAAGAATACGTGCATCACTACCAACTTTTATTTAATAGTTGATACATTTAGTAGTACAATAGATTGCATCCTTTGTTTTCGATCTATGTGACGTTTTTTTTTTAATTAAAGTAGTAGTTGTTAAGATATTCGCAATAAACAAGTAAATTCGAATCATTCGGGACAGTTTTTAGCTATATTTTCATTACATTTTAATGTATTATATCATCAAAAATAAATGCATTTTGATATTTTTAATCTATATTTATAAAGCAAAGTTTTTAAGCATACAGATATTTTTTTATATTTTTTTATATTAATAGTTGTGGTTCAATAAATGGTATACCGTTACTGTCCCGCCTTGGTGGTGCCGACCTGGCGGGATTTTTTACAAATTAAATTCAAGGTAACCGACGATTATTGCAAAAAAAAGTAGCGTTGTAAAAGAATAAAAAGGTGGTTAGAATAAGCGGAAGGTAAAGGTGAGGAGAAAAAGCTTGCAACTCTAGCTTGCAACTTAGAAGTTAGAGATTTTTATTGCAACTTCGATTTGTAACGTGCAACTACAAGTTGCAAGGTCAGATGCACACTTTGCAAGATTTACGTGCATGAGCCATACAGATTGCTCAATTCTTGCATCTTGACGCGCAACTTGAAGAAGCAAGAATATTTTGGTGGTGCAACTTGGCTTGCATCTGCGAGCCATATAGGGTCTTACGTAAGTAGAAGATGATATAAGTCTATTCTTATTTAGGACTTTGGTAGAGGTGGAAGCCTAACGTGACTCGCTTGGGATTCATTCAGTGCTTGGACTTCGATCGCAACGAGGATAGCCGTCATCATGTGAGGACGTGATAACGTCGCGTCAAGATCCAGATCTACATCCGACCACAACAGAGCCACAACTCCAGATGACGGATAAACTCACCGGCAAGAAGTTCCCGCAAGACATGCCGGGGCCTATCTCGATGACTGCAAGATGACGGCAGAGCCGCCTCTGGAGCCGAAACTTGTGAAAGAGCATGACACCTTGAAATACTCCCTCTTGGGCCCCTCGCTCACCAAGTCAGGCCAGGACAACGTAGACCAGCAGAAGGCAAGTCTACCCCGAAAGCGTAAATATCCAAGTGCTTATCGCTCTTCAGGTCTCCGAGATAATCTACAACGCGTCCAAAGGATCCAAATACTTCAACAACGAAGAGGCCCGAGACAAGAACCTCACTCAGAAAATCGAGCGGATCCTCGCGAAGAAAAAACAACTCGAGAAGCTAGACCTGGCCTCCGATCGACGGAAAGCAGACGACTACATTGCAGAACTAGAACTGTCGCGGGACTTGTCACAGGTTGTGGTGCATATCGACTGCGATGCTTTCTACGCAGCTGTGGAGCAGCTCGATCGGCCAGAACTCAAAGATCTGCCCTTTTCGGTAGGGAAAGGCGTCCTCACGACATGTAACTACCACGCCCGGAAGTTCGGGTGCCGGAGTGGGATGGCTGGCTTCGTGGCGAAGAAGCTGTGCCCGCAGCTTATCCAGATCCCTCTGAACTTCGACAAGTACACGGCGAAAGCACAGGAGGTTCGCGAGATCATTGTTGATTATGACCCGCGATTCGAGAGTGCGAGTATCGACGAAGCATATCTCAACATCACGGAATATTGTCAGAAGAACGACATGAGCCCAGAGGATGCCGTTCAGCAGCTGAGACGGGAAGTCCACGAAAAGACCAAGATTACGATATCGGCGGGCATCGCTGCAAATGCGAAGTTGGCGAAAATTTGCTCGAACCTGAACAAGCCCAATGGACAATTCCAGCTACCTATTGAGCGGAGTGCTATCATGGCATTCATGCGAGATCTGCCTACCCGAAAGGTCAATGGTATTGGTCGCGTGTTCGAAAGAGAGTTGGATGCTGTTGGGATCAAGACGTGTGGCGACATCTATACATATCGGCAATACCTGTCGAAGCTGTTTGGAGAGAAGGCTTTTGGATTTTTGATGCAATGCTATCTGGGATTAGGAAGGACCCGAATCCAACCTGCAGAAGATTATGAGAGGAAAAGCGTGGGGACCGAGAGCACATTCGGAGAGATGTCCAAGCCAACCGAGCTTCGGGAGAGACTTCGAGCAACGGCCGAGGAGCTGGAGAAGGATATGATCCGCACACAGTTCAAGGGACGCACGCTGTGCCTCAAAGTCAAGCTACACACGTACGAAGTATTTACGCGTCAAGTAGTCCCGCCGAAAGCTGTCTACTTGGCAGAAGATCTGTACAATTACGGCGTTCCCATGTTGAGCAAGCTAGAGCAGGAATTTCCAGGCCTGCGGTTGCGCCTCATGGGCCTCCGCTGCACGCATCTGGTCAGCATGAAGAAACCCGACACCAGGGCCTTCTTTGGCTTCAAAACGCGACCCGGTGAGCCAGCCGACAGCCCATCAAACACCACCAAAAGAAGAGCAGAGGAGACCCTTCCAGGTGATAGCGAGCAGTGGGAGGCTTGGCCCGACGAGCTCCTCTTTGAAGACGCCGAGCGCCAGGAACGCGAAGACGAGATCCAAGAATTGGAAAGCCTGAGCCAGGAACTGGATAAGAGAAGGCACCACGGGAAAGAGATCGTCCCGAATCCGAAGAAGGAAGATGAGCCCGGCGAGGAGTGGTGGGACTGTCCGATTTGCATGCGGCCGCAGGCTGCTCGCGAGAAGGAGTTCAACGAGCATATTGATCTCTGTCTTTCGAGGCAGACAATCAGGGACGCGGTGCACGAGACTTCGGAGACTCAGCCGAAGGAGCACACGCCAGCCGCGAAGAAGGCTAGAATTGGGAATGATAAGGGGAGGGCTGGCGTGCCCGGAGATCCTAAGCAAAGGCGTCTGAATTTTGGATGATATCACGGCAGATGGGAGCTCATGATAGTGCATAGGTATGTTGCATAGCGTACGTGTAATGAAAGCGTGTCCACCAAGACGAAAAAATCAAATCGCATTTGTCCTTACAATGCACCACGCAACAGGTATGTATCTTCTTATCGTATCATCATTCGCCCGCAAAAGAATCCTTTCTCCAAAATATTCCTCCCAGAGTATCTGAATTGGTTTGTACGCCAGCCCTTGTTTCCCAGGCACGATCAAATCAAGCACCGCCCTCCCGCTTCGCATACTCGTCCTCCATGCGCTCCTCGTACAACTTATCCCTCGCCGCCTGGTCCAGCTCCATCGTCGTCGGGTCCTCGATCAAGATGCCCTCCTTGATGAGGTCGGCTGGCTTGGGACGGTGCAGGATCTTCTCGTTCAGGCTATCGGCCAGCATGTTCTTCTCGAGTTCGCGCTGCTGGCCCACGATGGCTGGGGCGGCGGTCGAGTCGGGGAGGATGTTACCTGTGGCAAGTCAAGCCCAGTCAGCCAACACCTCCCAGATGAAGAAGGGGAAGAAGAAGAAGAAGAAGAAGAAGGAAACCCCCATGCCGCGCGCGCGCATCGCGCCGACGTCAGGAGGGCTATCGTATCAAGTAGCGGGCGGGGATCCGATCAGATGCGACCAGAGGAGAGAAGAAGACGTACGCTCCACGAGATCCTCACGCTGCGGGCGCTTCTCGAGACCTTTCTTCAGGCTATCCGTTGCGCGCTGGCGCTCGAGGTCGTGGGCTGCGGATTGCAGTGCTCTGTTTTGTACGCCCGCTGGTCAGCCTTCCATCCAGCCCATCTGCCAGGCTCCCGCGAGAGAGGGAGAGAGAGAGAGAGAGAGGGAGGGAGGTACTTACGGAGCGGCACTCGTATCCAGCAGGATGTGGCGATCCTTCAGCTCCTGCGGATCCGGGCGCTGCTGCAGGTGCTTCTCCAGCGAGTTCTGGCGCACCAGGTTGTTGGGGCGGACGGGGGAGATGGACGTCTCGTCGATGACGGCGCTGCGGGGGCTTTCGTCGGCCATGGTGTTCGGGAGGGACTTCTATCTTTTTTTTTTTTTACCTGCTGTGTATAAAGGCTGGACGGGCTTTTTGCTTGTGTGGTATGCGTGTTCGGCGTGTCTGATGAAAGAGGATTGATAGGGGACGTGAGAGTTGGGTGTTGGGTGCTGGGTGTATTCATTTATCTGCTTTTGGAGAGTCGACGGTTCGAGGGAGAGAGAGAGAGCTCTCGGACTCCCCATAGCAACGCCGGCGATCACCGTCATAGGCGGGCCGGGCTGGGCTGGGCTGGGCTGGGCTGGGCTCGCTTAGAGGGGATCCCCCGCCCCCTTTTTTTATATTTTCTCTTGTCTTTGTTGATTTCCGTGGTCTCGTTGAGCTTGAGCATGATCACCTCGTCTCAGGGTAAGTGCACGAATGAAACCTGCGACAAGCCACGGGAGATAAGCCGGTTTCAACCTCTCGAAATAGAAGTTAAAAAAAAGAGGTTGTTTTTTTTTTGTCTCTCATTTTCAAACGCCTGCATTCATCATATAAATATCAATTGTCCGATAATAGAAAACGTGGTTGCTTTTTTTTCTCTCCTTGGATGTCTTCTGCACTCAGTCATTCAAAACTCTCCTATCGTATAGAGAGATAGGTCCACGCGAACTTGTACTCGTTTCAATAAATATATATATATATATATATGTAGGTAGGTATGTATGTATACACTATCTTTTGCCTCCCTATCCCCTGGTTCGCGCGCACTTACGACTAGACGATCGGAGGGAAATAGCCCACATGCACCTCCTCCTCCTCATCTGGGCCACCGAAAGGCGGACATCCCTCTCTCTCTATATCATCGAGCCACCGCTCCACAGCGGTCCGGCCTCTGCTGCTCGCCTGTGCTGCTCGCTCGCTAGGACCTGAGTTCGAGATGTCTACATCGGAGAGCACTCGACGAAAGTTGAACCTCGGCGGCTGCGGGGCCGAGGTCGGTTGTTGTTGCTGTTGTTGGCCAGGAGGTCTTATGTGGAGGGAACTTGGGAGTGAGGAAGGGGAAGGCTTCATTGTGCCAATATATTATATATCTGTATGGATGGATTTATATATGAACCTATGAACCTGTTGCTTGGGTGAGAGAATCGGGCTACAGTAAGTATGGACGCGACTCGAAGTTTGAAGGCTCTTTGGGGGAGGGGAGGGGGGGGGGGCATTTGTTGTTGCTGCAGTGCTACTACTGGTGAATCACGATAGCGGGTACGAGAAGGAGGGGAGGGTGGGTGTGGGATTGCAGCTTAGATTCACAGTCACTTTTCTGGTGAGTCAGGCTTCGAGAACCCCCCTAGGTGTTAGTTGGAGATGGGCACGCTTCCCTCGCTAGAGATTTTCAAAGTCAACAAACATCTGTCCGGTGGATTGGCTTGCAGTGAGAAGTCTTCACCCCCCGAAAAGACTTGACGCAACAAAGGAAAAAAAAAAAAAGGAAATCCAAGTCGCGCCAAATGCAATCTTATATGGATATTGCAGCGGAGCCACAAAAGCGCAAGTTCTTTGTTGTGGAAGCCGAATCCAACGCCCCTTTGTTACGATCCGTGCAACCAACAAGGACGGGTGTACTTCGTATAACACAACAATCACTTGCTGAAATACTTCTTTCTTTTTTCTTTTTTGGGTTGTTACAGCCCATCAATTCTGGGATATATCCATCATGACCACGCCGCTAACACAATATGCCGGGAAGTACGGCATCAACCACGACTTCACCACACTGCTAGCACTAAAGAGCGGCCTCACGCCCGTGTTCCGAGGTTTCAATACCCAGCTCCCCGGCGCGCTCCGGGACGCGGAGCAGTTCCAGAAGAGCATCCTGTTCGACTATACCACGCAGCAGCTGAAGGACCTGGACGCGATCAGTGAACGGAGACTGAGAAGGCCCGATATCAAAGGCTCTGCGGTCCCGTTCTGGAGTCGCGGGAATTGGTACGATGGCGGCGGGGAGGTCAAGACCTACCGCCGAGCTGGCACCCGGTCTGGACGGTGGGTGGGTAGCGACGAGGACGTGTGGGCAGCTGTCCAGGAGTGCATCACCATGGCCTCGAAACTGCTCGACGAGAATGTCTTCGTGGTTGAATTTGTGAGTAGTGGATAGCATAGATATTGTGCATCGTAACTCTCTCCTTCTGGAGACATCGTGGAACAGTACAAATCCGATACAGATACGATACGGTACGATACGATACTGACCTGCATGCGCGCCAGATAAATCATCTCATCATAGGAGATCAGAAACCCATCGCGAGGAAGCGGGTACCGAGGTGGACTACCAACCGGCCGGATCGTCAGCGTCCGCTCGAGCTGACGTCTCTTGGTATGGGGGGCTTCATCAGCCCAGAGAGGCAGGACCAGCTGAGGGGCGAACGCATAGCGCTGTACAAACACCTGCAGCAGCTACTCACCATAGCGTTCAAAACGTCCAGCGATGATCCGTTCAAGGACAGCGAGGAAGCAGCGCCGGGAACGCCTTACCGAGAGGGCACCGATGCCTGGACCGAAGGTAACGTGAGTGATATCGAAGGTGACGAGTCGAACATGGACAAGGTATCGAATGGGATCTACACGTTCATCGACTTTGAGATTGTGGCTCCTTTACTTGGGGACAGGCTGAATGACGCCGAGAGGCTTGGGTTGCAGTATTGGATTGCAACCACGCTGGTTCATGAGAGGTACGTACGCCTTTCATCTTTCCATGGGGGCATAGTGATGATGGCTGACTTGGTATACAGTATCCACGCCCTCTGGATTGTGCTTCACGCCAGGAAAACACGACGGGAGACTGGCATCGCACTGCACGCACGCATCGAAGTAAGGTGTCCCGTCCACAGAGAGCACACAGAAAAACCACACAGCTGACCTCCCAAGCCGTATGTCATGACCGACCAGATAATGGAACTCGGCTTCGCGATGGAAGGCCGCGCTCTCGGTGGGCACCTCAAACCGATGTGGAAGAAGCCACATATCAACTTCGGCTACTGGGTCGAGCCCGGCTTCCCGACGACCAACGATATAGCGAGGAAGAACAGTGGCTCGGCGGTCCTGCAATCGGCTGCCTTGGACACCGCGGTTTGTGCCTATCCAGTCTCCGTGAGCTTCTTCGAAGCTATACACAACGAGGACTTCTGGCAGCTACTGCCGAATCTAGGGACGCCTCTGCTGCAAATCGGAGCTCTCAGAGAGGGGGTGATGCACGTTGTGGTCCTTGATCGCCACGCTCAAAATGGGATCAGGACGGTCAGAGAGAGCTCGGCGGCGAGGAACCGTCGGACGCAATTCGATGCCCAGATAAACGTGATGATGGGCAACCTTATGGGGATGACACCCGACGAGAAGAGGATTTTCCAGACGGGCTACAATATCCATAAGAGCCTGGGGGCGGTAGAGCAATACTACTCCAGCTCCCTTCAGCTGGCCCCTCTGACGGACCAATTCGTCGAGAACGGGCGCCGAATCGCCGTGTTGCGGGATGACGCGGCTGCGCTCTTGGAAGAGGTTGCAGAGAAGCCCCAGGACGCGACAGGTATCGAGCAGAAATACGGAGCCGTCAAAGACTCGTACCTACAGACGCTCCGAGAGCAATTCGCCGTCGTGAAAGACGTCTTCGCGGCACACCAAGCTCGCATTGCCGCTCTCGAAGCTCTAGAGGCGGTCCAGGGGCAGGACCAGGAGCGGCGTGCTACCCTCTCCGGCTGGAACTACGACACGAGGGTCTTCGTGCGGTCGCTCGTGGCGCCGCTTGAGCCCGACCAGCGCGTCGTGAACGAGCTTCACGAGATGGATTTCCAGCTGGAGATCACCCGTCTCCGGGTTTGGGACGTCGACACGGCCGATGGTGGGTGTCGAGACAGCGAGGAGTACCGCAAGCTGATGCAGCTGTGGCAAGCGTGTCAGAGTAACCGAGGTCAAGGCTCTGCGATCGTACGGCAGAACTGCCAGCGCCTGTTCCACCGGTCGGAACAAGGCCAGTCGCTGTTGGTGCAGGGTGCTATCAAGATGATTACGGCATATGCTGTGGCATACTCGGATGAGGTGGGTTTCTTCGCGCAGGCGAAGTTGGAGCTACAGGCTGTGGGTGCGCAATGGGCTAGACTCTATGCAGGCGGCATACCGCAACATGGGCGAGCATTCTTGGATGGCTGGACTGAGGTTGGGAGGCTGGCCATGGACAGGATTAATGGTGGCCTTGCTCGGATGGGCGTTGGATGGAATAACCCCGTGCGAACACTTTGATGCATGTTCTTACAGCCCCAAGTTGGAGTCCTGCTACACTTGCTCCGGATATACCCCCCCAGAAAGCTTTGCGGAAGGTTTGAATTTCGAACAAAAGAGACATATTACCAGTAGTCTGCCCAAAGGTCACTCGAGGAAGCGCGTCTTATTGACAGCAAACTCCTGGTCACTGTCAGACACTCGGTTAGAGTAGCTGCTCTCGCTTGCCAAACAAAATCATGGACATGTTCACTTGATAGCTCCGGAGTCGCCGGCTGCCAATCTTCTGTGTCTTTGGTGACTGGAAGTGTTTCGGACAGGTTGTAAAGATTTCATTATGGGGACTTTGCCTTCTTCATCTCTTGAGACTACAAATCTCAAAATCCAGCATGGCAAGCTGGGGGAAATATTCAGGCTGCTGATGCCCCATCCTGGCCCCATCCGCCCTTGATTCAATCCCACATCAGGACCGCCTTGACGACTTTCCCGCTCAGGACGTCCTTCGCAGCCAGGTCCATGTCTCGGGCTGGGTACTTGACCGCAAGGTCTGTGAAGGGGAAGATTCCGTTCTGCCATGCTTTTATCAATTTGGGGACGAAATCCTGCGGGAAGCAGTTGCCGTTGGCGCACCCAATGTACTGCCGGCCGCTCGTGACGGTTCCCAAGATGTTCGCGGACACTTCGGCATCGAGCTAGTATAAATCTTGTCAAAAGACCTCGCTCTGGCGACTGGAGGAGCTCACTCGGACCTACCTGACCCACGCCGACTTGTATGACCCTCCCCTTCTTTGCAGTTGCCTTCAACAACTCAACCACGATCGCAGCCCTCCCCGTGGTGTCGATCGCGCCATCGACCCCTTCACCATCCGTGGCATCCCGCAACGCGGTTTGGAGGTCTTTCACCTCCCGAGAGTTGATCAGCACCGTGGCGCCGTACTTCTTGGCAAGCTGCAGGCGCTCCGGGACGATGTCCACGGCAATGACCTTGCGAGGAGGAGTCGGACACATCTTCAAGGCCATCAGCGCGGCTAAGCCGACAGCGCCAGCTCCGACGATGCATACAACGTCATCGACCGTTGGCGCCACAACATTCAACATGGCTTTTGTTTTGTTTAGCATCTCCATCTCGCTTGCGAGCCGCGCGGAAGAATAAACAAGGGGGGGGGTAGGGA